GGTTCGGTGAGCTCATGAGATCGACGAGTTCATGAGATCGGTGAAGGGGGTGAGTTCGTGAGTTCTGTGAGTTTATGAATTGGTTGGGGGGCGCGCGTTTGTGAGATCGGTGAGACCGCGAGTTTGGTGAGGGGCGTGAGTCATGAGTTTGGCGAGGCGTGAGTTCTTTGAGGGCTTATAGGTTTAATGAGGGTTTGCGGGGTTATATCCAGGAAGGACTGGTGATGTAACTTCTGCGTACAATTTCGGGGAAGTAGTCAACGTTCGCTTCCCAACGGCGCTGTTAGCCCGTACGGCTGGTTCTCAACGAGGGATGGGAAAGAAGGAAAATGCGTCGATAGGCTAGGTGGTCCAAGCTACCGCCTGTTAGAAAGGGTATAGCCATTAACACCCACCCATTCATCTTGGATTATCGGCGCTCTTTGGCTCCGGCTCGCTTCGCGGCGTGCTTGGCGTGGTCTTTTGCCGCTGGTCGCTGCTTCTTGTCCTGGTGACAAAAAAGGAGCTGGGCTCTCCCGCTCGCCTCGTCGACTCCCATGTAGACTGAGAGGCACCGATATACGCGCGGCGGTTTGCTGCTTCGTGAAGGAGGAAAACGGCCACTACGCCCGTACGCCTTAAGGCAGAAGTTGCCATTTCGAGCGCGCTCGTCTTAGGCGCGATCTCTAATCCTGAATGAAGCCGACTGCGAATTCACGCATTTCGCTTGCACACGATAACAATTTGAACAATAATTGTTCAAATTTTAACCTAAAATTAAAAAAAAAAAAAACGCATTGCACGTTTTTGTGTTCGAGCACGTCCAAAACGCCGGACTTGTTCGCAATTGGGTTTAAAGGCTGCTACGTTTATTTGGTAGCATATAGATGCTTATTCGAGTGTGCATTGTCGTAGAAAAATAGCATAGGATAAGTTGCTCGATTTTATCCGAAGGAATATAAAACGATATTTTTACTTTCGCTTAATATTGGAGAAAAAAATCCTTGATATTCCTAAGCTGCTATCCTTCACCCCGTTAAGGGGTATGCAAACTGGCGCCGTGGTCTAGGGGCGTTTCGCCGCTACGTCAAAAAGCTGGGGAGACTTCGCTTCTGGGGAATGCGAATTTGGGAATTTGCGGATATTTCTTAGAATATGACTAACGTGGAAGTTTGGGCTAGTTGGTATTTCATGATTAAAAATTAAAACAGCGCAAGGACACGGACAAGAACAAGAAGGTAGACGAACAAGCGCCTTGTTCGTCTACCTTCTTGTTCTTGTCCGTGTCCTTGCGCTGTTTTAATTTTTATTCTTAGAATACAATGCCAACTGCAGACGTCAAAAACATTATCTTCCAATTTTGCTTTTGTGTTCCTCTAGAAACATTGGCATGAATGCCTGGTGCGCTACAATAGTTTTCTTACCCTCGATGTGTCGATTCTCTCCGAAAGAAACTTGAAGCGTGCATGCTACTATCAAGTATTTCATTAAAATATCTTTGCTCTCTGTTAGGAATTATTCTATAATATGTTTTGCACAATAGCGACAAAAAAGTTAAAAATAAAACTGAAACGAAATGTTTCGCTTCCCTACTGAATCAAACGGTCAAAAAAACAACAACAACATTATTTAGCTGTTTTTTGTGGCCTGCTATAGGTGTTATAAAAAATTAACTTTTAACTATTAAAGCTATCAGTCCAGCTATTTGTGCATTTCCTGTTAAAGCGTACCCAGCTCCGATGAGTTTTTCTTCCGCTGCTTAACGTGTGGAATGACCTATTTTATACCTGATAATGGAAATACCTGATAATTGAAAATAGTTATTTAGGGTACAAAATCAACATTACTACAGTTCACCCGTTTACATTTCCGAAGCTGTCACGCAACCTTAATACGCTAACCGAAATGAGCGGTTAGCTATTATAAACACATGACAAATTAATGATCTCAGTTATGCCGCGTATAAGTATCCGGAATCTAGGATTTGGTTGTACAACGTTTGCTTCAGGTTAAAAGAGCGGAAGGTAATCAGAGCAAACAAAGACTTGGCCTGCGAGTTTTCAAATCGTCAGCTCAAAGTAGATTATTGGTTTCAACGCGCCCAGAACCAAACGTTTGATTTGATCTCGGTAAAAAAGTAATCTTAAATTTTTTTGGCCATTATACTGAAGTGTTTTTAGAAGTTAACAAACCCAAAATTTAGCTTTTTTTTACTGAAAATGTTGCTTTCAATCTTCATTAATGACCTGCCGAATAACATTTCTTTCTGAATTAACGTTTTTGCAGATGATTGTGTCATTCACCATGAAATTAATGATAATTCAGATGTTATTAAGCTCCAGACAGACATTAACGTTATTCTTCATTGGTGTGAAACTTGGCATATGGAGCTTAACACAATTAAATGAGAGTGTCTCGTAATCATTCAGTTTCTCCCTGCTACTGTCTTAACAATGTTCCTTTACTTTCTGTATCATCTTACAAGTACCTGGGCGTACACATAACATCTGATGTTTCCTGGAAAATACATATTGGATACGCTATTAGTAATACTAATCGCATGCTTGACTATTTAAAACGTAATTTTTCTTTAGCTCCCCCCTCTTTGAAATTAACTCTTTATAAAACACTTGTACGCTCAAAGCTTGAATACGCGTCGTCTATCTAGGGCCCGGGCCTTTCAAATTTGGTTAACCCCCTAGAAGCTGTTCAAAATCGTTCCACTCGTTTAATCATCAGTAATTAGGGAGTTTTAGTAGACCGTGTTTCCCCCTCCGCTAGCCCTCCGCTACGAAGAAACCGCCACTGCGCCTGCGCGCCGATGGCCTTGGCTGCCGAGTTCCGGGTAGAGGACGGGCTTAGCGGAGCGGGAAACACAGTCTACTAAAACTCGCTAATATCAACGCAATGCAAAAGTCACCTCTATGACCTCTAGCTTATCTCTGCGTAGTCTTGCCTCACGCCCAAAGGTAGCCCGTTTGTGTCTTTTCATGAAGTGTTTCACACTAACTTCTTCCACTGTCAACGTCTCCTCGCACCACCTCTCTATGTTTCATCTCGTCTTGATCATCCTCATAAAGTAGGTGCACCACTACGTAGCACGAACACATTTCAACAATCTTTCATTCCCAAAACTTCTTTGGATTGGATCCGCCTTCCCACCACCATCGCCATAATCCAGGCGGATGATTTATTTAAAACTGCTGTTTCTAACTTATATTGTTCATAACTAATATGTGCTTTGCCTTTAAGTTGCTCATTGCATACTTTCTTTTGTTGAATACAACCCACTCCCCTCTTTAATGTCGTTGGCCTTGAGGGTATTGAAATAAATAAATAAATAATTAAATAAACGTATTAGACTGTAATAGCCAGACAAAAAGGATAAAACATTGACTCGCCTAACTGCACTATGGATTGTGAAACAAATATAACATCTGTGGAATAGGTATAGTTAAAAAAGCTACGCATTTCCAGCGGGAGAGCCATGAAAACTATAAGAATATAAATAAATATATGCAATAGAGTGTGACATTTATGAAGCTGCTGTCAGACCTAAGAGGAGAAGAGAAGAATTCGAGATATGTTTGAGGCACACAGACTCACACACCATGTTGTATTTAAGAGCTAGAAAAGGTTGAAAGACCAGCAGTGTAATTAGCAAATAGAGTGAGTAGGCAGGCGAGCTGGTTGATGTTTATAAGGCAATTAAATGCAAAGGTGCGAGCGAGCTCGACAAAAAATGACGAAAGTAATCCCTGGAGAAGGGGAAAAAGAGGGACAAAGGACAAATATAAATCTCCAAACACAGCTAGGCGACTGGTGCGCAACCGAAACGCCTTTCACCTTTTTTTTTTGGTTTTAGGCTGGTGGCAGCTGATTTTGCTTTACTGACGTCTAACCCCTGGTTAGCTCAGTTGGTAGAGCGCTCCACTGGAAATGGAGAGGTCCCGGGTTCGATACCCGGACCAGGCGGAGTTTTTCGGTCGCGCACCAGTCACCTATAGCTGTGTTTGGAAATTTTGTTTGTCCTCTGTCCCTCTTGTTCCCCTTCTCCAGGCCTCATTTTCGTCATTGTGGTTGATGTTACACATTTTTGAAAAACCGAAGACAACGAACGGAAAAGGGATTAAACAGGGAAATTTTGTGTTGTCCCCTTTTTCGTCCGTCGTCTCCGGTTTCTTAAAAATATGCTATTTTCGTTTAACATGTACTCATCTTATGCGTCACCTACTCAACTTTGTATTGATGCGGACTTGGAAACCTTTCAGGAATAGAGGAGAGCTAATCGTTTTAAATTCCTTTATCTAATTTTCTATGATAAGCTTGAAGTACATATAGATAATTGTTTTCAATATGTTCGGCCTCAGGTCTACCAGATATTCTCACAGCAGAACAATAAAGCCAGAGACTTATATAAAAAAAAAGAAAACGCATTCAAGTTTTTACTTTCTTTCTCGAACAATGTTGACTGGAATAAATTAACACCCGATGTTGTGAAGACCACACATTTTTAAACGTTTTTCAATGTTATCGCGGCAAATGCCGCCTTTTTGATATAGTTTCTGACTCCTGTTTTGGAACAATTTACAAAGAGATTAACCGTATTATTAAAACAAGGTAAGAAAATACTGATTTTTGCAGCTTTGTTGGAGGATCTAATGCGGGTGACAACGAATACATAATCTTTTTTTTCCCCCACGGACAACGATATAGGTGAGGAATGGCTTCAGCGAAGCACAGGTAACAATTCATGGAGGAGGCGGCTAATGGTTTATAAAACAATAGTGGAAATTTCATTTATAATATTATCCAGAATAACTCGATGTCGTGAGTTCAGATCGACAAGTCCTGCACACTTAAGCTGAGCCAATACATGTTTTAGAAAAGTGCATCGTATTGAGTGCCCACAACTTGTTGCATCTTCAACACATAAGTGAACCCTCTAGTAATTGATCTTGAATGTGTTTGTTGCAATGCTAATTTTAACGCCAGTGTTATGGTATATTTATTTTTTGTGTTTACTTTTTCGAAGGGCCAGAAACCCACTCAGTATGATTTACAAAATTGTTCCAGTCACGTGTAACTGTTTCTTCTATTTCTATTGTTCCGTTGGGCTTCGGAATGCACATTTGTTTCTTGTCACAAATCTGTAAAAGGAAACGTGACTTCGTAAATAAAAATATTAAGCGCCCGTGAGAAGCTTATCATTGTTTCAGTTTTAAAATTGTTTCGTCCTCATTTGGTTTCTCATACATACTCGTTCAAATTAACATGACAGTATGCATGTGGTGGGTGCCGTAGTAACATAAACCACAAGCCCCATTAATGAACTTGCCTGAATTTCATAATGACCCTAAAACACCCCTATAGGCATTCACGGCGTCTTTTTTTATAAAATGAACTACAGTGAATACGAAAGGGACATGACATTCACCCGCAAAAGCACTTTTAATGTGGTTCTACATAGGTTCTAGTTAAATTACCGTTAAATATGTTCTTTCTGAAATAAGTCAAATTTTTATGTGGATTGGGTATTGTATGCAGACCGCCGGTGCTCTTTCCGTTATTTATGCCTCTTCTATTTGAAACATACTGGTGCTGCATAGATTGTAGTTCCACTTGCATGCCGTTCCACTTATCCTATTTCAATTAACCGACAATATGCTTCAGTTAAAACTTCCAGAACGATTTTTGTCTAATTATTGTTTTTAGAACCCTCAATTATTTGAAACACTACAATGTACACACTACAAAATGCTTCGAACTTTCTGAAGACTGCTCTGTTTAAGAAGTTACGTAGAACTGTGTTCGTCCTGGTTAAGTGGAACGTTTTGGAAAATGTTTTTTGGTTATAACGGAAACCTAAGTGAAACCAGAGTTGAATGACGTTCAACACGTCATGGGGAGGGGGGATATCCGAAGCCAGATCGCGTCTTTAAGAGCCCACTATTTTTGAGGTTTACCTCCCATTTGCTTCGCGTTTGTAAAAAAGCACACGCCTAGATTCTCGAAAAAAAGATGTGGTTACGCCTTTTATCGTAACTGCGGTTACTTATTACAAAAAATGTAAGGTAGCAGAAATGACGCTCTAGGGCGTGGCAGTGTGAGCTGGTTCAACAGCATTCAGGCTGGGGCAGCGCACAAGTCATGCAGGGAGCACCGGGTGCGTTAACCTGTAAAAAAAGATTAGCCGGGACTGCCACCATTTTTTTTGTCGTATAGTTTAGCATGCCGGTGTCAACATTTACGGCATTTCATGATAACACTAATGCGGGCCAACTCATTTTGCCGCTGAAGGTACAACTGTTCGCAGATAATTATAAAATTTTCCTAACAGTGAAACGTGAGCCGCGTCTTACAATCGCTTTAGTTGCTGAGTGTAGTTTTTTGTAGAAAAAAAATTATAACCTAAAGCAAGTCTTACATGTAACATCCTGCATACAAAACATTCTAAACTTTCGAGGCTATAAATCCCCTTGTTTTAGGAATTATACCCTGAAGATATGAGAGCAGCACCATTAGGAAGCTTGTGGACGCCCTAAAAATAGGATTCTGGCAATCTTGGCGGCCTCCCAAGGAGCGCGCTTCAGTAGTCCGACCTTGAATCAGCCTACAAGGGAAGTCATTGAAGCTGAAAACATTGCAGTTCCGTTCACCCTTAAGCTGAGATGAGAAGCTCCGCCATTAGCGCGAGCTCGCTTGCTTCCGCAGGGCTTTGCATGCGCGTGCCTGCGCATTCACATCTGTGTTAGCAAGGGCAGAAAGCTCGCGCCGAAGTCGGAACTTTTGGTCTCTGCTTAAGGGGGAACCGAATATAGGCGATAGATGTGTCAGCCCTCGTCTGTAAGCTTATCAAAACATTACACGCACGTTCCTTTGACCAAACGCAATAAAATATTGTAGCTTTACAGGAACATTGTTAGTGAAAGAATTAGAAAAGGAAATGGCTGTAATATACCGTGCAGACATCATGGACGACTTCCTGGAGGACGACGTCAAGAACGATGTCTAGGACTATACGACAGCCACAAGGAATACGTCCTATAGAACGACGTCTAAGACGACTTCTAGAACGACGTTGAGGGCGACGTCAAGGACGGCGTCTAGGATGGCGTCTAGAACGACATCTAAATCGGCCTTTAGGGCGGCATCAAGGACGACGTCGAGAATGACGTTCTAGAGAAGGACGTCAAGAACGACGTCAAAGACGACATCAAGGACGACTTCAATAAGGACGTCTAAGAAAATGTCTAGGGCGATGTCGAGGACGACGTTTAGCACGGCGTCTAGAACCTCCTTGAGGACGACCTCTAGGAGGATGCCAAAAACAACGGAAAGGACGACTTCTATGACGAACTTGAGGGTGACGCCTAGGACGGCGTCAAAGACGACCTCTAGAACGAATTTGAGGACGTCAGGACACGTCATCTTTAGCTAAGTAGTGATGGCCTCGAGCTGAGCCGGTTGGTTAGACATGCTTACTTGAATACCAGCTGAACGTTAGGAAAAGCGACGGAGAGAAGAGAACAAAGAACCACACTGCTGGACTATCAACCTTTTAATAAAACTTCCTTTTCCTCAACCTTATCCTAAAAGGTATCTTCTTCATCAGTCAGAGCTTAGATCTTAGACAGAAACTTCCTTTTCTCCACACTAACCGTGGAGTTTACCTCTTCTTCAGCTGTCGGATCTTACAAAACTTCTTTTTTTTCCTCTATACTCCCGGCAGCGACAACTTCTTTTTACTCTGTCGGATCTCGGACTCAAATAGTCCCGACTTGGTTGCTCCGAGGGTCCGCTCTCCTCAGATGCATTTTTTCTTTGGGCAAGAGTGCAATGGAGGCAACACTTACGCATTCCGCCTCCCTCTCCTCAATGGCCAGCGACTCGAGAATCTCCCTTCCAAGCTGCTTCCGGTGTCGTGCGACGACGCCTCATGAAGCAACCTCACAAATCATCAATGAGGGTCTTGAGTGTTTGGCAGGCATACAAAGCTCGGGAACTCCAAAGATGAGCTTCGCCTCAACGGTGGAGGAATTTCGTCACGAAGACCTTCGAGTTTGTCTCTCGGACAAGGAGGGAGGGTCTGTAGTTCTGGACTCTGGGTCGTTTGGGGACAGAGCAAGACAAACCTTAGCGAAGAATTTCAAGCAAGTGAATCCAATACAAGTTAAACCAGCCACACGAGCCCTACTCAGAATATTCGAAAAGGAACAATGCCGTGGCCTTGTCACAAAAATCAGAGGATCACAACGAGGGAACCTAGGGGTTTTCTTCTCGGCAAAAACACATAAAGAAGGGGTCCCTTTTCGTGCCATTTTCTCAGAGAGACACACCTGGCAAGGGCAAGTGTCACCTTGTTTGGCGAAATTTCTATCACAAGTTGAAGTAAAAGATTCTTTCAGGATACCAAACTCCGAAGCAGTGATTGGCCTTCTTCAGGAAAAGGGATCTGATATTGTATCAGGTTTTTCCTTGGACATCCAAGACCTTTACTATTCAATTCCCCATGCGGCTCTCCTCAAGATCCTCCGAGAAACCATAGGGGAGCAAGGTCTTCAAAGCTTTCAAAATTCGACAGGAATGAGCCTCGACAGCTTCTTGGAGCTCCAGACGGCTTATATTTCTGCGATGGTGGTGTCACACCAGGAACAGCAATTTTTACAGAAAAGTGGAGTGTGCATCGGTTCTCGAGTGGCCCCATACTTGAGCGATTTGTACCTAGCATCGTGCGGGAGGAACATTCAACACCAGTTAAAGGATCAACGCATCGGGGCCATCTTTCGATATGTTGACGACTTCCTCATACTATGCAACTCTGATGCAGATGAGGAGAGTAACTGGTGCTTAGAAGTGGTCATGCGCAGCTTCGAACAAAGCTGCCATGGATTGCCTTTTACCCATGAACTTCCCGTAAACAGATCCATACGTTTTCTGGATCTCTCATTGGAGTTTCAACCTTCCCACGTGTGCTGGATTTATGAACCCCGTTCATGTAAGGGGTTCCTTCCGAGTAACTCGGAGCATTCCAAAAATGTAAAACGGGGGCTGGCCATCAAAGCTCTCGTCTCGGCGGTACAGAAGTCCTGCCCTCATAAGGTGGGATGCAGCTTTCAAAGACTGCTTTGTAGACTCCAGGATTCCGGTACTCGAGTACCCTCCTCATACCGATATGTGAGAAGCTTTGTAAGCAAGTGCGACATAATCCTGAGAAAAATCAAACAACAAAAAAGAAACCCCCAAAGCCTTTCGTAGCGGTACCATATATACACGGCATCACTCATCGTTTAAAAAAAGATCGCCGGCCGACAAGGCATCCACGTTTTGTGCTCCGCCCCCAACAAGGCGTACGCCATGTGCCGTAGGGTGAACCGGGAAACCGACCATAACGGGACGACGACCTGCGGCACTGCGCATCGAACACCCTACGCCCCATGCGAAAAAGGAGTCGTATACAAGATCCCTATGTCATGTGGCAAAAGCTACATAGGGCAAACAGTGAGGTGTATAAACGACGGCACCAGAGAACATGCAGCCTCTGTGGCCGCACTAACGTCGGCGGGCCACCTTTCGGCCCTTTGTCGGGACTGCAAATGTGCTCCTGATTTCACAAACATTACCGGCGTCGCACGACACCGAAAACAGCTTGGAAGGGAGATTCTAGAGTCGCTGGCCATTGAGGAGAGGGAGGAGGAATGCGTAAGTGTTGCCTCCATTGCGCTCTTGCCCAAAGAAAAAATGTATCTGAAGAGAGCGGCCCCTCGGAGCGACCAAGTCGGGACTATTTGACTCCAAGATCCTAAAGAGTAAAAAGAAGTTGACGCTGCCGGAAGTATAGAGCAAAAAAAGGAAATTTTGTAAGATCCGACAGCTGAAGAAGAGGTAAACTCCACGGTTAGTGTGGAGAAAAGGGAAGTTTCTGTCTAAGATCTAAGCTCTGACTGATGAAAAAGAAGATACCTTCTAGGATAAGGTTGAGGAAAAGGAAGTTTTATTAAAAGGTTGACAGTCCAGCAGTGTGGTTCTTTGTTCTCTTCTCTCCGTCGCTTTCCCTAACGTTCAGCCGGTATTCAAGTAAGCACCTTCAGCTACCAGCGCTTACGCTTCAGTTACGGGCATTACGTGACCTTGATTACATGACCTTGCA